ATGAGTTGCACCTCGACCGCAGTCTCCCCCGCGCGTGCCAACTTTGAGTTTGGGGGGCAGGGGGGTGGGTCACTAATTGTTCCCCTCTACCGTATTCTCCCCCCCCCCCAGACATCCGACGCCGTATCAGTTTCTCCATGCGGGGCCCCTGGAGGCCTCACCGCCCACCAAGCCGCCCCAACCCAGCCCGAAGACCCCGACTGGCCCTCCATTTCCAGTGGGGGGGGGGGGGCGTCGGGGAACGTTGAGAAAGCACGCGAAGCCCGCACACCCCCGCAGCCCGAAATTCGGGTCTTCGGGTGCAGTCAGGGCCCTGAAGAAGGAACCCTTTTTGTTGGGGAGGAGCTCCGTGTTCCTTAGGTGCTTTACAGTGCTCCTCGGGTTTTCTAATGTTTTCGTGAGGTTTTCCATGGGAAATCGAAGTTCAACGTATGGGAGAAAGGGGCCTCGTTCCTTGTTTATCGTTCCTTAGGTCAACGCCCCGACTGTAGGTGGTCAAGGTCCGGACCTTTGCCCCCGGGCCGGCCTTATCATCCCGAGGCGTTGCCTGGCGGTCCCGGGGCCTGGCGAGGGCCACCGGAGGCCGAAAAAGCTGACAAAAGACCTTCGCCTCGAAAGACAAACTAATCTAAACATTTTTCGAGTTTCTCGAGGCGTTTGAGTTTCTACAATTTAGTTTAGACAATTTTTGTTTCGAGTTTTTCGAGTTTAGACATTTTTTGTTTTGAGTTTCGAGTTTTTCGAGTTTCGAGTTTTTCGAGTTTAGACAATTTTTGTTTTACCTTCGTCTCGAGTTCCTCGAGGCGTTGGAGGCCTGGCCCCGCGCGCCACATCATCCAGGGTGCACTTCTCACCTTCTCACCTTCCTAGGGCGGTGTGGCCCTCGGCGGGGTCGTGTGCCCTCCCGCGCGCAGGTAAACCGCGGAGGGCACACCTGCCCTCTCGAGGAGGAGGAGGAGGAGGAGGAGGAGGAGGAGCAGGAGGAGGAGGAGGAGGAGGAGCAGGAGGAGGAGGAGGAGGAGGAGGAGGAGGAGGAGGAGGAGGAGGAGCAGGAGGAGGAGGAGGGCGGAGGACGGCCCCGCGCGCAGGTATACCGCCCGAGGCCCGACCCCACGAGCGCCGACCTGGTCGTGCTGCCGGTGCGCTCCGGGCCGTCGTCGGCGCCGGTCGGCGCGGCCCTTCCGCGCTGCTGCCCGTCCCCGCGACGTGAGGCGGACACAGGTCTCGGGCGTCTCGAACAAAAGTCGAGACAAGGGTTTTTCATAGTTTTGGGCCTCTCGGAGCCCTCGCCGGGCGTCGGGACCGTCAAAAAACGGCTCGGCACGAGAAACCGGTCCCGGGGAAGTGGTCGGGAGGTCGGGGGCCCGCGTCTCGAAAAGATCGAGACGTCGGATGTCTGGGGACACAGGTCTCGGGCAGGGGGATCGACTGCAGAATTCATTCACCCCAACATTCGTTTGCCGTCGAATCTGCAAATCGTAGTTCGAATGTTCCGCTGATCTACGGAGCATCATACGCATCTCGTAGGCTTCAGGGAAGAATCAGTGTTGGGGTAAATCAACTCTGCAGTCGATCTCCGATTCGAGGCCCCAACGCTTCGAACAAGCAGGACGGCGATGTTTCGTCGCTTTCGGCAGCTGGAATCCGTTCCCGAGGCGCGGGGCCGTCGAGCGACGGTCCGAGGCCGAGAACCAGAGGTCCGGGGAAGTGGCCCAGAGGTCCAGGAGACCTGGACCTCTGGGCCACTACCTGCCCGCTGCGATACCCCCACACCGAGGCCTTTACCATCCAGGACCCCTCATGGAAGATCTCAGGACGTCGGAGGTCTGGGAGCAGGTCCCGATCGGGCAGGGCTCATGCACAGGCTTCTGGGGCACCTCTATAGGCCCTCCGGGGGGCCCGCCCGGGCCCCCCGGGGCCGTCGGAGGAAGGCTCGAGGATGAGAGGCCGGTCCCCCAGGGGAAGCGCCCTACAAGTCGGGCGAAGAGAGTTATGCACATGCGCCGATCCTGGCAAGGCCCACCCTCGACCCATGATCGGTGCATGTGCCTTGCTGGCCAAGGCAGGAGGGCGCATGCACCGATCCTGGGCTCAGGATGGGCCTGGCCAGAATCGGTGCATGTGCGCAGTTCTTTTTCCTCTCACAAGCCTCGTCAGCAGCAGATCGACACGCCGTTCCACATCGAAGCGCTCGACAGCTCGGGCACTCGGCAGAGAACGCGTTCTTCTCTGCTGTGAGGGCGCTGCCAGATTTCGGACACCCCTGCGCCTGGGCCAAGGACCTCATGCCAGCATCGCAGCGCCAGCCACGCAAGCACCGGGAGTAGAAACCTTCAGTTGATTCAAGAGGCTTACGCCATTCCGCCGACCCCCAGCAGAGGCGGGCAGTCCACACTTGAGGCGTCGTGGGCTTCCTGGGCGCTATCTGGGGACTCTTGTGGGCGTCGTGGGAGTTCTGTGGGGGCCTGGTTGAGCCTCTCGGAGGCAGTTTGAAGCGTTTTGGGGGCCGCTTCGGAGCCCGTCAGTCAACTGCTGACGAGTCCTGCAGTCTCGAGGACCCGTTTCCCTCGGGCTTTCTCCAGGCTTTCTCATTCTTTTCCGCAGATTGCCGACGTCACGGTGTTTCTTCCCCGCGCTGGAGCCCCAGGCGTTTCGGCCCCTTCCCCCGAGGCCCTGGACCTGGGCTGTCTCTGGAGCCCGGTGCACGCCGCTCTTTGAAAGTAGGTATTTCTGGATTCCCAGTCCCTTATCTACTTCAAGCGCCTTCCTACTTCACGAACCAGTGTACCTTTGCTGCTGCATTGTGGTTCGTTGGGTGGGCCCAGAACCGATCTACTCTATCCGCCTTCCTACTTCATGTGTCCACTTACCTCTTCCTGACTGGCGGGGCCCCTGTAGGCCGAGTATTGTCAAACGCTTTCCGCCACGATCCATTCACGGCGCGAGGGCGGTTATTCTTGAGCAGGAGGAGGAGGAGGAGGACCAGTGTAAACCCAAGACTCGTCAACGATGTTGGAATCTACCCTCCTCCAAGACCCCTCGTCACAGGCCGCTACAAGGGGTCATTTCCACTGGGGGAATTCCCCTGTTGGGGGACAACCGTGGGAACATCTAGAAGCGTGCCGAAACACCCTTCTCAGGATTCCAACGCCGCGAGTTAAGCTAACAGTTATGTCTTGGCGATCCTGAGTCGTGCCAGAACATTCCTGGGACTGCAACACATGGAATCGGCGTAACCTGTGCGCCCTGGCAATCCCGAACCGTTCCAAAACACGATTCCTGGTACGTTAACCATGAGAAGCATTGTCTGCAATTGTTCAAAACGAACGCGCGCGGCGCTAAGGCGAGAGCCACAGTTTGAAAACAAACCGCCCTCAATCCGTGAAACTCTGGCAACATGTGGAACACGAATGTGCGCGGCGTTACGGCGAGAGCCACATGCTGAAACCACCCGCCCTCAATCCGTGAAACCTTTGCACATGTTTAAAACGAATGCGCGCGGCGCTAAAGCGAAAACCACATTTCGAAAACGAGCTGCCCTCAATCCGTGAAGCCATTGCAAGTGCTGAAAACGAATGTGCGCGGCAATACCACCCGCCCTCAATCTATGAACCCCTTGCACATGTTTAAAATGAAAATGCGCGGCGCTAAATCGAGAGCCACATTTCGAAAACGAGCCGCCTTCAATACGTGAAGCCATTGCAAATTTTGAAATCGAATGTGCGCGGCCAGAGCCACATGTTGAATACCACCCGCCCACAATCCGTGAAACCTTTGCACGTGTTTCAAACGAATGAGCGTGGCGCTACAGTGAGAGCCATATTTTGAAAACGGGCCGCCCTCAATCCGTGAAGCTCTTGCAAATGTTGAGAACGAATGCGCGCGGTGCTGAGGCGAGAGCCACATTTTGAACCCCATCCGCTCTCAATCCGTGAAACTCGTGCACATTTTTCAGAACGACTGCGCGCAGCGTTAAGGCGAGAGTGACGAATCGAGTTTGGTGTGCGTAGGTGACCTTTTTTTCGGGCCTCGTGGATTTTCAGCCACCGATTCCATCACGCACCGTCATCACACCACCCGTCGTTCTACGATTGCTTTCGTCGCTGCCATCCGCTTACACCCAAAGATGTGGTTGATCGATTGAGACGATATCCCGCCGACTAAAAACGGCGATGTAGGAGGTAGGCGAGGAGAGGAAGGGGGAGAGAGGGGCAGATGGAGGGATGGTGGAGGGGAAGAGCGAGGGGAGAAAACACGTCAGAAAGAAAACGTCCAGGGCCAGTGCGAGGAGGAAGGGGAGGGGGGAAACCGCAAAGCAAGACGAGGAGGGCGCAAGGGCAGGAGGCAAGAAGGGTGCGCCTCTTGCCAGTCGCACCCTCTTTGATGTCGTGGTCGTCGTCCTTCTCATCCTCCCTCGTTTGCCCGCCAGACTGCGCGGGTCACAGTTTCAATCCTCCTCTGTCCATGTTATCCTCTATCTCCTCCTGCTCCTCCTTCTCCTCCTCCTCGTTCTCCAAACTTTCCCCTCTATTTACGAAGGCGGGATTTCTCCTCCCCCCCGCCGCCTCCGCACGCCATCTCCTCCCCCAAGCTCCCCCTCCGTGCTTCCTGCTGGTGATGGGGGCCGCTGACGACGCCTCCACCGCTGCCGACGACGAAAAAGCGATGGCGATGTCACCGCTGCCGACGACGACGGCGACGGCGAATACGACGACGATGGCGAAAACGGCGGCGGCGACGACGACGACGACGACGACGACGACGACGACGACGACGACGATGACGACGACGACGCCGACGACGATGACGACGACGACGACGACGACAATAGCGACGACGACGACGACGACGGGGACGACGCTGCCGACAAGGACGACGATGACGACGACGACGACGACGACGACGACGACGACGACGACGACGACGACGACGACGACGACGACGACGACGACGGCGGCGGCGGCGGCGGCGGCGGTGGCCTGGGCAAGGTGCCGGAGCGCATGCTGGCCGCCGGCGGCGCCCCGCTGCTGTTGCCCTCGGTCGGCGTGGGCACGTGGTCGTGGGGCCGCGGGCCCGGGACCGTCGGCGTCGGGGCACGTTTAGAGGGAAGCTCGACTGCACGTAAGAGTGACTTTTCGCCGGAGTGGCCTCTGGTGCGGGCACAGTGGGGTCCCCCGATCACCGATTGCGATGCGACAGCAGCGTCTTGCGCGCCTGAGTTTGGTCCCCCCGCGGCCCCCTAAAAGCCGCGCACCAAAGGTCACTCCTACCCAGGGTCACTCTTGCGTGCAGCCGAGGAGCACGCAGTGGATACAGTGGGGGCCCATGCCAAGAAACACCCTGCTTGCCTCCAGGGTGCCCCGGGTGTCTTGGGTTTCGACGGTGTTTTGCTGTGGAAGGCGTGACGTTCCCACGCCAGAAATCCATGGACGCCCTGGGGTCTCAGGGTTGGGTTTCTTGCGGAAGGTTTCTTGTGGACTGGTCTCCATTGTAGTGGACACTCCCAGACGAACGAACGAAAGAAGCCGCGCCTAGACGGCGCGTTGACAAACTAAGTAATAGCACATGCGACAAGGAAAAATGCAGGGCTCCAGCGAAGTGCGCGGGCATGGCCGGGCCTCGGATTGCAGTGCGCAGGCATGCCAGTGCGGCGTGGGGGTGGACGGCAGAGCACCGGCCAGGAGGGGAGGGGGGAAAGGATGGGAGAGTCGGGGGCGGCCAAGAGGGGGATGATGGTTAGGCGGGGGGGGTATCATGGCGGTGGCCATGATATCTCCAAAGATTTCATGGCGCCTCTTCTTACTTCCATACGTCCCTGGCCACCCCCTGGGCCGCGCACATGCCGCTGGCCATGTTTTGCGCCCCCCCCCTTCTTGGACGCCCCCCTCCTGGACGCCCCCGAGAGAGGAGGGGGGACGAGGAGGAGGGGGACAATCCCCATCTCACCTAAGTTAAAAGTTGGCACGCGCGGGGAACATTGCGGCGAAGTGCAACTCGTGAAGCCCACCGCCCGATGTGATCATTGGGGGGGCATTGGCAGATGAGTGCGGCGTGAGTGTTCGCTGATAGTCGGGGCAGGGGCCTTCGGTAGCAATTCATGGGATCGTTGCATGTCCTCGGTAGCGCATCCTTGGGCAGGGGCGCCTTCGCCGATTCGCAGTTGCCCGCTTCGGGAGTGCTTTGGCACGTGTCAGCGCTTGGCGATCGATGAGATCGCGCGTCTGTGGCGCGGATGTGGCGTCGATTGGCGTCGAGCCGTGCTGCTGCGCAGGAGCCCGCGAGCAGCGGCCAAGAGCTCTGCCGTCGGGCTCGAGCTGCTCCGCCCGCGCGCGCAGCGACGCGGAGCGAGGCCGCCCGCACACACCCCGGGCGACGCCTGCAGCCCAGGCGTGCCATCCGGAGCGGCAGATTCAGGCGCAATCACCTTCAGGACGGGGCAAACACACACGCACACGCACACGCACACGCACACGCACACGCACACGCACACGCACACGCACACGCACACGCGCACGCGCACGCGCACGCGCACGCGCACGCGCACGCGCACGCGCACGCGCACACGCACACGCACACGCACACGCACACGCACACGCACACGCACACCACACACGCACACACACGCACGCACGCACCACGCACGCACGCACGCACGCACGCACGCACGCACGCACACACACACACACACACACACACACACACACACACACACACACACACACACACACACACACGCACACACGCACACACGCACACACGCGCACACGCACACTCAGACACACACACACACACACACACACACACGCACACACACACACACACACCGACACAACTGATCATCGATTTCCACAGGAAAATGTTAAAAGATATGGGCATTGGGGGGGGAAGACGAAAGCCCCGAACACACGGGAAAACTGTGGGGACTCCTTTGATCTGTGTCTCCATTGTCTCCGAGACCACCTGGCGCGTTCCAGAAAGGGCCACCTTCGGTGCATCTTCGCCCTCGGCGAAAGTCGGGGTGGAAAGCCAGCCGAAGCTGGCGGAGGTAAGCTGGCGGCAGGTCCGTCGGCCCACGGCGGCCGACGTAAAAGCGAGACTTCGACGGGCTCAATCGACTCCACTGTTTGGAGGGATAGTTGCGTGAGTCTTTGGTGCGAGGGATGTTTCGCGCTTTTTCCCGAGCGCTTCTCGGCCAAATGCCATGTACGATTGCGCGCGAGCGATAGGACGGTGGCAATGCGCACAGTGGGCTAGGACGGGCGGCGAGCGATAGGAGGACGGCGATAGGACGAACGGCGAGCGATAGGAGGGTGGATGTCGGACGCTACCGACGAGGCTCATTTGGCTGAGTACATCCTTCAAATTTCTGACCACCCGCTAGTGTTTCAGAAATCTGACCTGCAGGCGTAGGGCTCACATGTGGTTGCTCAGTCGTCGTGATCGTCGCTACCGCCGTCGCCGTCGTCGACATCATCGCTGTCCTCGTTTCCGACGCTTTCGTCATCGTCGCCGTCGTTTTCGAAATTTTCGTCGTCGGTCTTTCGATCGGTTTTCGTCGGCGTCGTCGCCGATCTGAGGATCGAGGACCGAAGTTTGATGTTCGAGGGCGGAGGTTGTTGAACGTTGTCGGCTCCTTCTTGGCCTCCGAGGACCTCCAGGGGTCTCCGTCGACAGCATCGCTGTCGTCGTGGTGGTCATCGTCGTGGTTGTGGTCGTCGTCTTCGTCATCGTCCTTCGTCGTCGTCGTCCGTCGTCGTCGTCGTTGTCGTCGTCCTTCTCGTCGTCCTTGGCGTCGTCATTGTCATCGTCGTCGTCGTCGTCGTCGGCGTCGGCGTCGGCGTCGGCGTCGGCGTCGTCGTAGTCGTTGTCATCGTCGTCGGTGTCGGCGTCCGCGTCGGCGTCGTCGGCGTCGTCGGCGTCGGCGGCGTCGTTGGCGTCGTCGGCGTCGTCGTCGGCGTAGTCGTCTTCGTCTTCGGCGGTGGGGGCATCTGCGTGGGATCCCCGCGGATGACCGGGATAGCTCGACGTTGGCGGCGTTTTTGCATCGGCGCGGGCTCCTGGCAGGGACGAGGGGGGAGGACCAGGAGCAGAGAGAGGGACGACGACGACGACGACGACGACGACGACGACGACGACACCGACACCGACACCGACACCGACGCCGAGGGATGGTGACGAAGACGACGACCACGACGACGACGACGACGACGACGACGACGACGACGACAATGACAACGACGACGACCACCACCACCACGATCACGACCACGACCATGACCACGACCACGACAACGACAACGACCACGACCACGACCACGACCACGACGACAGCGGTGCTGACGACGCAGACCCCTGGAGGTCCTCGGAGCTCGATAAGGGGACTCCTGGCAGGGATGAGGGAGGAGGACCAGGAGCAGGAGGAGGGAGATCGGGCTGGCAGGGACTCTTGGCCCCCAGAGGCAGCCCTGGTTGGCCCCAACAACCTCCAGGGGCGTCCCGCGGCGCTCCCAGCACCCCGCGGCCCTCCGCGCTGAGGCCGCCCTGGACCATCTCCTCGGCCACTTGGGGTCCGGCGGGCCCGTCTGTGCGCAGCACGTGGCAGCTCAGGGTCAAGCTTCAAGGGAGGAAGAACCACCCGGACCCGACAATTGGCGTTGACTAAACGGCCTTGCTCGGTTACTAAATAGCCTTGCCCTGTTTGATTCCTCCTTGAGGTGCGTTTACTGAACGGCTTCGCGTGTCGGGGTGGCTCTTATCGGGCTGGATTTTCTGCCCTCTAAGGCTGATTTGTTGTGGACACGGCTGGCCCCGCACGGGGCCGTTCTGGGGACACGTGCCTGGCCAGGGTTCCGTCGCCATCGTCGAGAGAGCGCGCGTGGTCTCCCCACAAACCGAAACCGTGATCACCGAGCCGACGGCTCGAGGCCGCGAGGGCGATGGCACTCCGCCAGACACCGACGGCGACCCGACGGAGGCCCCCCTACCACCGCACCCTCCAACTCCTCCTCGTCCTCCTCCTCCTCCTCCTCCTCCTTCTCCTCCTCCTCCTCCTCCTCCTCCTCCCCCTCCCCTCCCCTCCCCCCCCCTCCCCCTCCCTCCTCCTCCTCCTCCTCCTCCTCCTCCTCCTCCTCCTCCTCCTCCTCCTCCTCCTCCACAATTACTCAAGGTGAATACTACTCTCCTCCTTCCCCTGATGACGGGTTGGGAGTGTTCGCCCCCCCCCGCGTATTGTTTTTTTACACACAGGATTCCCCGGAGTTGGGTTTTCGCCTGCTTTTTTTTTTTTTTCTTTTTCAAAATGCTGCTCTCGCTGAGGCGCCGGCCTCATTTTCGGGCCCCGCTCGTTCCGTATCGTGCTCCCTCTGCAGCGTTGGCCTCATTTCCGTGCTTCCGCTCGTTCCGAATCGTGCTCCCGCTGCAGCGATGGCCTCATTTCCGCGCTTCCGCTCGTTCCGAACCGTGCTCCCGCTGCAGCGCTGGCGTCCCCGTGCCATGCCACGGCATGCAATGCAATGCTAGGTTGCGTTCCGCTGCGCGATGCCATGCCTTCAGTTGAAGCTGTGATACGCAGTGCTTAAATGCCACGTCGTGCTATGCCATGCTCCGCTTTGATCTTCAACGCCATGCTATGCAATGTTATGTTCGGGGCCGCTGTGCGATGCCATGCTTTGCGTTGCAAAGCTTTGTGATGCAATTCTTCACTACGCCATGCCACGCCATGCTGTGACATACTACGCTTTGCGGTGCTCTTCTACGCCATGCCATGCCGTGCTCTACAATGCATCGCGTACCCTTTCGGGATCATTGCCTTGCTCGACATCCGACTGTGCGAGTAGAGAGGGGATCTACGCCATGGTAAGGGATGGGAGGGAGGGGTAGGATGTCAGATATGACGCGAGCGCACCTAGCTTGTCCTTCTCCCCCTCCCCCTCCCCCTCCCCCTCCTCCTCCCCCCTCCCCCTCCTCCCCCTCCTCCTCCTCCCCCCCTCCTCCTCCTCCTCCTCCTCCTCCTCCTCCTCCTCCTCCTCCTGCTCCTACCCTCCTCCTCCTCCTACCTCCTCCTCCTCCTCCTCCTCCCTGCTAGCTCTTCTCCTCTTCTGCTCCTCCTCCTCCGCCTCCTCCTCCTCCTCTCCTCCTCCGCTTCTCCTCCTCCTCCTCCTCTCCTCCTCCTCTCCTCCTCGCTCCTCCTCCGCCTCCCCCTCCTCCTCCTCCTCTCCGCCCCTCCTCCTCCTCCTCCTCCTCCTCCTCCTCCTCCTCCTCCTCCTCCTCCTCCTCCTCCTCCTCCTCCTCCTCCTCCCCCTCCCCCTCCCCCGGCCCCTCCCCCTCCTCCACAAGTATTCAATAATGAATACTACTCTCCTCCCTCTTTCCCCTGTGGCGTGGCCTGGGAATATTCGACCCCCCCCCCGCGTATTGATTTTTTAACATCACAAGGATTTCCCTGTGAGTTTGGTTTTCGCCTGCGTTTTCCCCCATATCCTAAGATGGGGTTCTTGTTATTACTTGGACGCCTCCTACTCCTCCTTCTCCCTCCTCCTCTTTTCTCCTCCCCTCCTGTCGGACTTACTCATACTCCCACTTGCTCATACACAGACTTACTCATACTACTCACACCCAGACGTACTCATACACAGACTCACTCATACCCAGACTTACTCATACACAGTATTAGTCATACTCAGACTTACTCATACCCAGACGTACACATACACAGACTTTCTCATACACAGACCTACTCATACCCAGACTTACTCATACACAGACTTACTCATACACAGACTTACTCATACTCAGCACCCCTAAGGGGAGCCGCCAGGGTGGTTGCACGGGCTCGTTCGCGGCCATTTTGTGGGGATGTCTCAGGCGGTTTGCCTGTTTCTGGGCCCAACATCCTTCGCTTGGAGAGCAGATTGTGAGGATGTCTCAGGCGGGGCGCTGGTTTCAGCACCCCTAAGGGGAGCCGCCAGGGGTGGTTGCACGGGCTCGTTCGCGGCCATTTTGTAGGGATGTCTTAGGCGGTTTGCTTGTTCCCCATATCCTAAGATGGGGTTCTTGTTATTACTTGGACGCCTCCTACTCCTCCTTCTCCCTCCTCCTCTTTTCTCCTCCCCTCCTGTCGGACTTAGTCATACTCCCACTTGCTCATACACAGACTTACTCATACTACTCACACCCATACGTACTCATACACAGACTCACTCATACCCAGACCTACTCATACACAGTATTAATCATACTCAGACTTACTCATACCCAGACGTGCACATACACAGACTTTCTCATACACAGACCTACTCATACCCAGACTTACTCATACACAGACTTACTCATACACAGACTTACTCATACTCAGCACCCCTAAGGGGAGCCGCCAGGGGTGGTTGCACGGGCTCGCTCGCTGCCATTTTGTGGGGATGTCTCAGGCGGTTTGCCTGTTTCTGGGCCCAACATCCTTCGCTTGGAGAGCAGATTGTGAGGATGTCTCAGGCGGGGCGCTGGTTTCAGCACCCCTAAGGGGAGCCGCCAGGGGTGGTTGCACGGGCTCGTTCGCGGCCATTTTGTGGGGATGTCTCAGGCGGTTTGCTTGTTTCTGGGCCCAACATCCTTCGCTTTCGGAGCAGATTTGGAGGATGTCTCGAGCGAGGCGCTCATTTTCACCCCCCAGGTGGGCCAGATTTTGAGGATGTCTCGATCGGTTTGCTTGTTTTGGTGGCCAGGCTCGTGGGCGCAGATTCTTCTCAGGATGCCACAGGAGGCTCCAACAGGCTCCAGGAGGCCCCAGGAGACCACATGAGGTCCCAGGAGGCATCAGGAGGCCACAGAAAGATTCAAGAGGCCACAGGATGTCCCAAGAGGCTCCAGGAGGCCCCATGAAGCTCCAGAAGGCCTCAGGAAACCACAGGAGGCCCCAGGAGGCAACAGGAAGCGCCAGGAGGCCTCGGAAGGCAACAGGAGGCCCCGAGAGGCCCCAGGAGCAGGAGGCCTCAGAAGGCAACAGGAGTGGCTCCAATCCCATGTGTTTTACGTATGCTCCTATCGATTGGGCCTCACCTGGAGCACGATTATTTGATGTTCTACGTATGTTTCTATAGATGGTCCTTCTCCTGTGTACACAATCCTAAATGTTTTACTCATGTTCCTATGTATTGGGCCTCTCCTGGGGCACGAGTCCTTGGTGTTTTACGCGTGTTCCTATAGATTGCCCTTCTCCTGTGGCTCTAATCCGCAATGTTTTATGTACGTCTGTTGCTATAGATTGCGCCTCTCCTGGGGCACGAAACCTTCCTAGGAGGTCCCAGGAGGTCCCAAGAGGCTCCTGGAGACCCCAGGAAGCCCCAGTAGGTTTCAGGAGGCCCCAGGAGGCCCCAGGCTCATGCACAGAGACGCGCTCGTACTACTGAGGCTCATTCACACTCCAATTCATTCGCAGTTAGATTGATGTCCAGACCGTCACAACTGAAGCCCGTTAAGATTCGAAAGCTCTTGCGCCTAGACATTCACGGCGGACAGGTCCATGCGAGTAGATGCACATCTGGGGAGCTCCACGCAGTGAATAATTTTATTATGTTCTCGCAGTCGCATTCGGATTCGCAGTGGCAGCCGCAGTGGCAACATCAGCGGCAGTCGCAGTGGCACTGCCAGTTGTTGCAGTAGCAATAGCTACACTAGCAGCAGCAACAGCAGCAGCAGCAGCAGCAGTAATAGTAACAGTAGTAGTAGCAGTAGAATTAGTAGTGATGGTAGTAGTGGTAACAGTGAAGTAGTAGTTGTAGTGTGTGGAGTGAACGAGTAGGAGTGATGGGAGCAGTGGTAGTAGCAGTAGAAACACTGCTTTCGATAACGGTATCTCTGGGAAGTGGAAGAGCACGAAGTGGCGTACAGTTGGCTCCGGGCATTCAAAATATGGCCCGGGAGTGGTGTTCTGGGAAGTCGAAGAGCACGAAGTGGCTTACAGTTGGCTCCGGGTATTCAGAATGTAGCCCAGGAGTGGAGTTTTGGGAAGTCGAAGAGCACGAAGTGGCCTACAGTTGGCTCCGGGCATTCAAAATGTGGCCCGGGAATGGAGTTCTGGGAAGTCGAAGAGCACGAAGTGGCCTACAGTGGGCTCCGGGCATTCAAAATGTGGCCCGGGAATGGAGTTTTGGGAAGTCAAAGAGCACGAAGTGGCTTACAGTTGGCTCCGGGCATTCAAAATGTGGCCCAGGAACGGAATTCTGGGAGGTCGACGACCACGAAGTGTATGATTGTTTGTGAGTTCGGACCCAGCTCCCCGGATGCCGCCCAGACCCCCCTGTGGAGTCATCTGCTGCTCTCCTTTGACACCACTAGAAACCTATCAGTCTTCGCTGTTAAGTAAAAATGCTGCTCTCGCTGAGGCGCCGGTTTCATTTCTGCTCCCGAATCGTTCCGAATCGTGCTCCCGCTGCAGCGTGGGCCTCATTTTCGGATCGGTGTTTTGCTTCCGTCGTTCAGGATGGCGTTCTCGCCCCAGCGCGGGCCTCTTTCTCGCGCGCCCATCCGCCCGCCACCACCGCGCCGCACCACGCCCCGCCCCGCCGCACGCACACCCACCGCCACTTCCACCCACCAACGCACGCACGCACGCACGCGCATCACCACCGCGCACCGCCACCACCACCGCACTACCCCACCCACCACCACCACGCTACATCGCGTCACACCACATCACACGCGCGCACACACAGACACACACGCACGCACGCACGCACGCACGCACGCACGCACGCACGCACGCACGCACGCACGCACGCACGCACGCACGCACGCACGCACGCACGCACGCACGCACGCACACGCACGCACGCACGCACGCACGCACGCACGCACGCACGCACGCACGCACGCACACACACACACACACGCACGCACGCACGCACGCACGCAAACACACACACACACACACCACCGCCACCACCACCACCACCGCCATCACGCACGTACGCACCTGGCCCACCACCAAACCACCAAGACGCCACACCACGTCACACCACAGCACACGCGCACACACGCGCACACACACACATACACACCACCACCACAACAACCACAACCACGCACACACGCACGCACGCACGCGCACCACCACCCACTACGCACACGCGCGCGGAGCCACAGGTCCGCTACGACACGCGTCCGCGGATAGAGAAATCAGCGCCATGGTAAGGGATGGGAGGGAGGGGTAGGATGTCAGATGTTGACGCGAGCGCACCTAACTTGTCCCCCTCCCACTCCCCCTCCCCCCTCCTCCTCCCTCCTCCTCCTCCTCCTCCTCCTCCTCCTCCACCTCCTGCTGCTCCTCCTCCTCCTCCTCCTCCTCCTCCTCCTCCTCCTCCGCGACCCTCTTCCTCCTCCTCCTCCTCCTTCAACTCCTCCTCCTCCTCCGCCGCCTCCTCTTCCGCCTACTTCTTCCGCCTCCAAGGCAACGAATCGTGGGGCTGTGGCAGCTGGGGCCCTCGCGACGCGGAAGGCGCATCCAGCCGCATGCTCCCGCCGGCTTGGGCTGCGCGCCCCCCGCTGCGCCTCTCGGAGTCTGCACGTATCTTTTCACGTGCACACTGTGCATACATACCGGGCGCACGCATTCACACAGATGTGGATGAACGGGCGTGCATGCGCGTCGCACAATTTCACGCACGTGCGAACGTGCATATGTATGCCGACTGCGCTAGCGAGCGTTCGTGCACACTTGATCGTGTACGAGCACTCACATACACGAGCATGCTATATAGTAGCAGCATGTTACATAAACTTCTGTAGTCATGCCAGTACACATGTTCCAGTCGGGCGCGCCGATGGCATGCATTCAGGCGCAGTACATTGACCACCTTGTGTGGCAGCGCCAGCGTGTGTGTGTGTGAGTGTGTGTGTGCGTGTTTTTGTGCGTGTGTGTGTGTGAGTGTGTGTGTGTGTGGTGTGTGTCTGCGTGTGTTCGGCGTTGGTCTGCCAGGTTTTGTTTTCCGCTCTGCCGTCTTACACTGT